CCAAAGGAAATGTCAAAAAGCACAGGAAAGACCTTTGAGATGTTTTCTTGGGTTCGGGGGGTAGATTATGAAAAGGGAAGGTGCGAGCACCCTTTTCATCCATGGTTATCCATGGGCTCTTAGTTACTTGTTTTTAGATCACTTGCCTTTGCTTTTCAATTGTTTGAAATGGTGCTTTGTGTGTGTGATTTTGAAAATTCTTTGAAAAAGATGCCTTGTCTAGGCAACCTTTGTAATGATTCTTGTTTGAATATATACAAAGGTGTGTGTCTTTTTGAAAAGATAATTCAATGTTTTGAAAGTTGTTTTGAAGTTGTGTTATGAAGTGTGTTTGAAAAATGGCAAGGATGTTTTGCAAGATTTTTGATCAAGTAACTAAGAGTTATTTACCCTATTTTTACTCAAAGATATTTCTTATGTTTTTAACCCTTTTAACAGTGTTATTTCACCATTGTATTTGGTGAATAACCTTGCGTTAGGATGTTTAACGGGACAGGCGTGGGTCATCGTATACAATCATTGAAGGCAACTTGTGAGACGCTCTAGCAATTTTGTAAGGGACGAGATCGTTTTATCGAAGGCAACATCGAGGGTCATCGAGGGACTACGATCTTTGTTTATCGAAGGGACATTTGCTAGAGTGTCACATACTCGAGGGACATGATTGAATTTTCTGAGGCAACAAGCGAGATTACCCTAGAGGTGCAAGTGTGAATTGTGTATTGATTTTCATGCATTTATCTTGTATTAGGTCACCTAGCGATTGATTTTGAATCTTCGCATACAAACCCTAATCTCTAATTATGGTATATTTAAAGAGCATAAAGTGCGAGAATTAAATCCTAAGCTATTACAAAAGAGTATCCGGGGATGGGGGTACAAATTATTTACAAATGAGGATGAGTCTTATCAGAATAATGTCCCAAATATTATGGATTACAACCAAATTGAATCGATGCAATTCAAATATTAACAGATTATAAGATAAAGAAAATTAGAGAAATATGAGATGTAAGTATTTCTTTACAAATGATCAAAAAAAATTAACTTAAAAAGATTAAGTATTATTATTTTTGTGTTTTTGTTAATTATATAAACAAATTAATTAAACATAGTATTCTCTTATATTTAATCAAATATGCAAATATTAATATAATATATCAAAGCAATTCAAATTTATTATTTCTCTTTATTATTAACAAAACAAAAAATTTTAGAATAAATAAAAAAAGAAAAGTATTAATTTTTCTAAAGAAAGTAAATTAATCGGTGAAAAAGAGAAAAGAGTATTGCTTTAAAAAAAATCACAAAGAAAGGTAATGGGCTTAAGCATGTGTTTTGGCCCAAATAAAAAAACAAGAATTTGTTAACAAGGGGGTGCAGGCGCTGGAACGTGTATTGGGCTTTATGGGTTCATGGGGCAAAAGCCCAATTGCATTGTTTGAACAAATTTGTTTAGGGTTCGTTCATTTGTTTGGGAATTAGGGTTTTACAGTTTGTACAGCGGCGCTCCTCTCCTCTCGTCTTCGTCCTCTTCGTCTCTCTCAAACCATGGGGGTTTCTGATTCCTCCCTCCAAGCTCCAGGCTACGAGAATGTTGCCTCCATCCTCTCCTCTCCGTGACTTATACAGGGCGGTGATTTTGAAAGGTATCATTTTCGTTCTTGACGAGTTTTCTTTACAGTTTGCATGTTCAATTCTTGTATGTTTTATTGTTTGCAAAGTTTAATCTTTGGCGTTTATGATATGAGATGTAGGAAAAGAAAGAGGGAAACTGATACCTTGGTGGCTTCATCTCTTGGAGAACGGGTGGAGGGTTGGAACGGCGGCGCTCTCAGGTGGCCAAGGCAGAGGGAGGAGCGTGATGATGCTTATCTGGTACTTTGTATCTTTTTACTCCTGAATGCTTGAACACTGTTTGATGATGAACGTTACTCTGAAAACACTTGCTTTATTCTTCACTTCTGGATTCCTTCCTCTTCTTTGAGTGTTGGATTTTGATGATGAACTATGTTTGTTCTTTGTTTTGGTTATTGGCTACTGATTATTGATGATGAACATACGTATTCTGAAACTTATTTGTTGTTTTCTTCTGAATCTTCTCTTCTTCTTCTGCTTGTTTTGTCAATGATGATTGTGTTCTAAGATTTGCTTGTTGTTACTTGGTTATGATGAGCTTGTTCTAAAAAATAGCTCCTGAATCTAGTTTGATGATAATGAACTTGTTTATTCTGGTTTTGAGTTGACTCTCTTCCTTTCTTCTTTTGGCTGATGCTTAATATTTGATGATGGTGAGACTGAACTGTGTTAGTAGCTTAAGCAGTTTTTTGGCCTTGAGTTGCAGTTTCTGGCCTTTGTTGTTTTAACAGGTTCTTTGGTTTTTGGATTTGTTTGAGTTGCAGATTTGAGTTGGTAAGGCAGGCCTGGGACTTGCAGTTATGCAGGTTACAGGTTTTTTGGGTTTGGAAGCAGTTTTGTGGGTTACAGGTTGGAGGCTTTGAAAACAGGCTTGAAGGCTTGTTGTGCTTGTTTGTGTTCACAAGCACTTTGTTATTTTAACTGTTTTTTTGCAGTTTTGTGTAGTTTGAGCAGGTTGGAATGGTTTGTGAGGCAGGTTGTGTTTGGAGGCTTTTTGCTTCTGGTGTTTTGGTAAGGCAGGCTGGTGTTTTTGACTGTGTGTTTTCAGTTTACAGGTTTGTTGTGTAGTTGGACAGGTTTTAGTGTTTTGCATATCTGAGTTTGCTTGTTGAAGGCAGGCTTGAATGGTTTATGAGGCAGGTTGTTAGTTTGCTTTGCTTCTGGTATTGTTAGAAGCAGGCTTCAGTTGGAGGCAAGCTTGGTTTCTTAAACTTGCAGTTTTGCAGGTTTTCGTTGGTTTTGAAAACAGGGTTGAAGGCTTGTGAGTTTTTTGCTTGCAAGTTTAGAGGTTATGCAATATCTTCTCTATCTCTTGTGTTTTGACTGTTATATATTTTCTTTGGTTCCTCTTATCTTCCTTTTACAGCCTGCCAAAACTGCAAACTGCAAAACCTATTCACTAGGTTCTCTCTTTCCTCTCTCTCCATAAGCATTTTTAATTGCTTATTTATCTTTTTATTTCTGAAAAATTTGGCTGTCTAGGAAATGATGAAAAAACATCTTTGACAAGTTTTTAATTGTCAAACAAATTGCTTCTTGTTGTCTTGCCTTTTGTCTGCTGCATTGTTGTTTTCATGCTGCATCACCATTTTTATCAAATTTGTCTTGTAACTTGATTTTGGGCAATTTTGTATTGTAGCTGAATAAGGGACTTTACTTGCTGCTGAGTTTATTCCTTTGCTTTGACTTACCCTGGCAGTTTTGGCGCATGTTTGTCTCTTTGAACTTGTAACACAATTTGGCTTGGTTAATGTAGCTTGGAACTTTTTTATAATTCAGTTTGCTTAGTTAATGCAGTTTGGAACTTTTTTGTACTTGACCCATGTTTTTGCATTGAGTTTTGACATGCTTGCATTTATATTTTATTCTTCTCTCTGTGAACCGAGAAGAGTGATCTTCTTGTGATTTGCAGAGAGAAAAATAAAGCGTGATGAAAAATAGGCAATCTGATTCTAGACGGCCAATTTTAATGATGATTTTTTGCTTTTCATTTAAAATAATCTTGTACTGATTTTCTTTTTCTTCTTTTTTTTCAGGTAGGTACCAGTTGAATAATGGAAGAAACAGTAGAAGATCAAAGATTTCAAGATATTTAGGCTTTTTAGATTTATTTTCTTTTCATTTATTGTAAAAAATATTATTGTAAACACTGTAAAATTATAAATTTACAATATTCGAATAACATTTGTAACAATATTTGAAATAAATAAATAAAAATTCTTTGTCAAATAAGAATTTCCTACTGTCAAATATTCCATTCTTTCCCTTGTACTGTCTATTTAATTATTTAAGTCTCTTAAATTAAAATAAATGGGAATGTATCCCAATAACTTTAGTCCATATGAAATAAATAATCAATAAACTTTGTCGTCTCGCAATCTTGCATTAATCATCATATGCCTGGCATTCCAATTAACCATGCTTTGTACAGTTAATCAAACAAGTGTTCCATACACCTTTCACTCCACTGATCAAACCAATGCCTCAAAGTTTCAAACAAAGCCTCAGCTCTTATCCCAGATATTTAGGTTCTTTGAGAAACAACCAATAATCTTGAACAAGCATGACAATAATGTAACAATTAACTGAATATCTGAGGATTCAGTTCTTTCTGAGAAATGCGAGCGAAAAACCCTAATTCTGGATTGACTGATAAAGAAAGGTCTATTTGACCGATTCTTGAGCCAATCTCAAAAATCAGAGAAAACCCTGGGGTTGTGATTTCTTGTAAAAAAAGGAAGGCAAATTTTGGGGTATAACACTCACTTACTCCCAAAATCTCCTCTTTTTATATTCAACTTAATAATCAAATATTATACTAACTACATATATTTTCTCATTAAATCCAATAAATCTAATAAAAAACTATTATTTTAATTATTCAAATAAATTCTAATAATTTTAATCAAACTCTACTAGTCTCTAATTACTCTCCACACTCCTACTTCTAGGTCACACACCCCATCACTCATTTTTATTTAATTAATAGGCTTAAATGCAACTTTAGTCCTCTATTATCCTTTTTTTTTTAATTTTGGTCCCCTTATTTTAAAAATTGATTTATATAGTCCCCTTATTTTGTTATTTTAAGGAATTCAGCCCCCCTTCAAATCTGGGAGAGTTTTTTAATGACACGACAGAGATAATGCTCATGTGTCGAGTTCCAAATGAATATTTACTTGATTTTTATTCAATTCATTTTTTATTTTTATATTTCAATGTTTTTAAACGTTAACAATTATTTATAAAATAGAAGTTATTTCGTTTCTTCTTAAATTCATCTCAAAAATCTCAGAAAGGGCTTCTTCAAAACATGAACCCTAGAAATATCAGCAAGTTGTATCAGATTTTTTGAAATACAAATGCCTAGTTGTGGTTTCATTATCATCAACTTGCTCTTTGTTGTATTCGTATTCTTCCAGAGTTATGTTCATCTTCGTTTTCTTCAACCTCTTCATCCACTTCTTTGTTCGCGAGATTTGGAAATGGAAAACGCAACGTATGTATCAAGGTAGGTGCTTCTGACATCACGTGATCCCAAATGTACTCTATGTTTTACTATTTATTTATTATTTACATGTGGTCCTTTAAGTGTAATGATTATTTTATCACATAGTTGTGGTCCATCATGTATGTCCAACTGTTGTTGTATCTATTTTGTGTAGGCTAGCACCTGTTCAAACTATCAGGCTTAGAATACACCATAAGGGGGAATTGACTACTCATCCTATGAACTGGTATGTTAGTGAAACATCGTCTGAAATGAACTGGACTGATATGTGGACTTAATGTCCTATATGGAGATTGAGAATATGATAAAAATGTGGGTTATGGGAATATAAAGTGTCTTTGGTATTGGAACCCTAAGTTTTCATTTTCTCTTGGGCTTAGACTGTTGAATATTGACCATGATGTTTTAAGTTTTATTGAAGATGTTAAAGGGTTTAAGGTAGTTGATATATAAGTTGAGCACATTGTTGATGTACATGACATCATATAGAGTGATGAAGCTTGTGTGAATGTGAATATGGAGAGTAATGAAGCTGGTGTGAATGTAAATATGAATGTGGAGATTGATGAAGCCGATGTGAATGTGAATGTGAATGTGGAGAATAATTAAGCTCTATGTAAGTATGTGTAAAGGAATTATAAGTCTCAACATCCAAAAAGTATTAGAAAGATTAAAAAGGGCAACTGGTGGATGGAGTGCAACCTAGTATTGTGATGATGACTTTTCCATATTCGGGGTTTCAAATGGTGTTGACACATATGTTATCAATTTTCTACAAAATAACTGCTCATGTAGGAGGTGGGATTTAACGGGGATACCATATTGTTATGCTATCTCATGTATATGGTATAACAAAAAGGCGCCAGAAGATTATGTTTCATTATATTATAGGTAAACCATCATATATATATATACTTGTTTTTTCATTTCCTGGAATTTTGTATTTTACCATATTAATGAGACATTTTTGTGTGCATATAGGAGATCTACTGTTATAGCTACATATAGTCACATCATCTTGCCAAAAATGGGCCACAACTATAGCCAACTGATGGAAACATAGCTATCAACCCTATTTTCATGAGAAGAGTTATTGGACGCCCAAAGAAGAACCGAAAGAAGGAAAATGATGAGCGTAGAAGCACAAAGACTTTGCCATGAATTCTTCAAACTGCAAAATGCAAAAAAAATGTAGAAATATGGGACCTAATATACAAAAATGAAAAGGGAAGTGAGCAACTGAGATATCCATTCCTATAGAAGTGAACATGTTATTTTATGGTTTATGTTACTGTTTTATGAATTGAACCTGTTATGATTTTGGAATCGAACCTATTATGTAATGGTTTATGTTACTTATTTAATAAGTGAACATATTATGTAATGAACCTGTTAAGTAAAAGTTTATTACAATGGTCTGAAATTAAATTTCAGAATGATAAATAACACATAGTGTTGTTATCCTAGTTACGTGAAACTCACCTACTCTGGGGGCTACCAAGCCAGGAAGAAAATTCACTATCAGTGGTATTAATTCAAAGCCCAAATAGTCTCAGTTTACAACTTCTCGCTTAATCCCTACTCAGTGCAACTTCTACCTACGAACCTCCTAGATATGAGAAATCCCCATCTCACTCCCAAAATCACCTCAGTGATATCTAACAATCTCAATCCTAGTGATTATATAAAAACAACTCAATAAGAATATTACACTTCCAATACAAACACTTAGTCGAGACTCTTGACTAAGAACAATACTTGGTTTTGCTTAAAATATTCAACCAAGAACAATACTCAACTCATTACCTAAAGGCTTCTGAGTGAGAACATTATGTCTACCACAAGTATCAAATGATACAAGGGTGACTTACAACTACACGAGAGACTCTAAAAACCTAAGACTATAAGCTTCCCCCTAATTTGAAAATTGTTTAAAGTTATTATTAATACATTAGGTTTTGGTTTTCTCCTTTAAATACACCTTTTCAATCCATGGGCTTTGAAATCTGCATCCAGATGTTTCTTGATCCATAAGCTGAGTAATGCACTAATTGTGCAGCAAAATCTCCTTAAATCTTGGAACAAACAATACAAATTTTTCTAAATTGTCGCAAGACCCAATTTAGTAACTAATGTGCAACTGGAGATATAAAACTTGTTCTAGATTAAATCTTCTTGACCTACAAAGTTTATTGAGTTATATCCAAAAGAAATATCACAAAATAAAATCAAATCTGTCAAGATTTAAAACAGAAGTGACTCTTGTACCATACCAAGATGTCATGACATCTGCTTCGACATCTGGCTGAAAAATTCATAACATCAAACTTGTTATGACAATTGGTAAAAATGCTGCAACATCTTGATCAACAACATTATAGAACCATGTTTTAGTAAAATTATGCCAATCCTAAAACCATGGAACTAACACCTATGATCATGTATTTACCTGTGCTTGAAAACTCAATGAGGTGTGTACTCGGTCAGCATGATGAGACAGGTATGAAAGAGCATGCAAACTACCACCTGCGCAAGAAATTTACAGATTTTGAGTCATGATACTCTTTTCTTGAGAAGACATGTTGTGCACTTGCATGGGCTGCCAAGCGTCTGAGATAGTACTTATTGACTCACACTAATCTCTTGATATCCAAAATGGATCCTATCAAGTATATCTTTGAGAAGCCAACTCTCACGGGAAGAGAAGCCTGTTGGAAAATGATCTTAGCGTAATATGATATTCAATATACTACCCAGAAAGCCATCAAATGTAGTGTACCGGCGGATTATCTTGCTCATCAGCCCATGAAGGATTATCAGTCTATGAAGTTTGAATTTATAGATGAGGGCCAGAACCAGGATCATGATGGACGCTCGTGTTAGATGGTGCCTCAAATGCTATAGGATATAGTGTGGGAGTTGTCATCACATATCCTATAGGTTTTCATCTTCCATTTACAACCATAATTTGTTTTTGTTTGCACCAATAACATGGTTGAGTATGAATCTTGTATCTATGGGATCAAAGCAGCGATTGATTTGAGAATCAAAATCTTGGAAGTATATGGAGATTCAACTCTGGTGATTAGTCAGATCAATGGAGATTGGGAAACACGTTACCCAAATTTGATTCCTTACATGGAGCATGTTATGAAGTTGATTATGTATTTCGACGATATCATGTTTAATTATATCTTGAAGGAAGAGAATCATCTAACAGATGCTTTAGCTACTCTATCATCCATGATCAAAGTTAAATGGACCAACGAAGCCCCCTTTATCACCATCATGAGGTTAGATGAGCCAGCATTCTGTTATGCAATAGAAGAGGAAACTGATTAGAAGCCTTAGTTTTATGATATCAGGAGCTATCTTGAAACTCAAGTGTAATACGGTGGGAGAACTGACTTTTTGGTTTTATCCAAATTTGCGGATAGCTAGAGTCGTCACTGACTTTTATTTTATCCAATATTTAGGGATGGTGAAAAGAACAGGAAAGACCTTTGATAGATTTTGAGTTCAGGGGGTAAGTTATGAAAAGGGAAGGTGTTAGCACCCTTTTCATCTGTAGTTATCTACGGGCTCGTAATTGCTTAGCTCACTTTTGAAAATCTTGCTTTGTATGTGTGATTTGTTTGAAAATATTTTGAAATCGCCAATGTAAGACTGACTTTGTAATGATTCTTGTATCAGTCCTCAAGAATGTATACAAAGTGTTATATTTGAAAATATTTGTTTGAAAGTGTAGTGTGAAAAAAAAATTGAGAAAAATTGTGAGCAATCAATTAAGAGTTTCTTACCCACTAAAGTCTTTCTTATTCTTTTCCTTCTCTTTTAGAGATAGTACTATCCATACCATTAGTTGGTAGGTAACCCTATATATTGGATATGAAGGGACAAGTGTAGGGTCATCGTATGGCCATCGAAGACAACAAGTAAGGATACTTTAGAAATTGTATTGAAGGGACTATCATCATTTTGTAGGCAACTTGAAGGTGCTAGATCATTTTGTAGGCAGCTCGAATGGACTAGATCATTTTCAAGGAAGCTCGAAGGGACTAGATCATTTTGTAGACAACTCGAAGGGTCATCGAGGGATTATGATTTTTATTCGAAAGGGACATGATGATTTGATCGAGGATCTTTTGCGAAAGTATTTCTACTTTCGAGGGACGTGACAAATATCATAAGGCAACAAGAGAGGTTACCCTAGAGGTGAAAGTGTGCGAAGTGTATTGATTCAGTTATTTATCTTGAATATTGGGATTATCTATGTTTGATTTGTAGTCTTTTCATACAAACCCTAATTACTAACAATTAAAAATATAATGCACAAAAAGTAAAATGCAGAAAATTAAACCTAAGTGTGATACGGTGGGAGAACTGACTTGAGGTTTTGTGTTTGTTTTCTCAAATGTTTCGGTTGAGCAAGAGTCTCCGCCGACTTTTTATTTTATCCTAAGGAAAGGTTAAAAAGCACAGCAAAAACCTTTGAGATGTTTTCTTGGGTTCGGGGGGTAGATTATGAAAAGGGAAGGTATTAGCACCCTTTTCATCCATGGTTATCCATGGGCTCTTAGTTACTTGGTTTTAGATCACTTGCCTTTGATTTTCAATTGCTTGAAATTGTGGTGTGTGTGTGTTTTTGAAAATGTTTTGAAAAGACGCCTTGCCTAGGCAACCGTTGTAACAATTCTTTACTCGAATGTTTTACAAAGGTGTGTATCTTTTCGAAAAGATGTTTCAAATGTTTTTGAAAGTTTGTTTTGAAAGTGTTATGGAGTGTGGTTTTGAAAAGTGGCAAGAATTGTTTTGCAAGATTGGTCAAGTAACCAAGAGCTATCTACCCCTAAATTTCTCAAAGATCTTTGCTATGTTTTAACCCTTTTAACAATTTTGTTCCACCATTGTATTTGGTGGACAATCTTGTATTAGGATGTGAACGGGACGGACGCGGGTCATCGTTTAGACCATGATTGCAATGGTGCCAAGTATCTTTGGGCAATTTTCTTTAAGGGACTTGATCATTTTTAGGCAACTTTCGAAAGCGTCATCGAGGGACTATGATCATTTGATTGTTTTATTTTTGCCAAAGATACCTAACATGCAATATGGCCCATTATTGAAGGCAACAAGTGGAGTACCTTAGGGGTGCAAGTGTGATTAGTGTTGTCCATTTTCATGCTTGTTTATCTTGAATTTAGGTCAAACTATTTGTTGTTTTTGATTTGCATACAAAACCCTAATTCTAACATGGCATATTTAGAAAGCTTTTAAA